AAATCTTCTTGTGAAAAACCACTAGTCCAATTTCAACCAAACTTGGCAGGATTGTTCCTTGGGTGAAGGGCTTCCAAAGTTGTTCAAAGAATTTCATTCCATGCAGAAATCTGGTTGCCATGGCAACAAAAAGGAATTATAAGAATAAATTTAAAAAATCTTCTTGTAAAGACCCACAAGGCCTAAAGCATAGATATTTTGCATAAGGCATTGTCTTGTAGACCTCTTACAACATTGTTCAAATTATAGCTCTGGGGTCAAAATTGGCCCCGCCCCGGGGGTCATTGGTTTTCACTATATACATATAGTAAAAACTTAAAATACCTTCTTGTAAAAACCCAAAAGGCCTAGAGCTTAGATATTTTGCATAAGGCATCATCTGGTAGACCCTTACCAAGATTGCTTAAATTATAGCCCTTGGGTCAAAATCGGCCCTGCCCCGGGGTCATTGATTTTCGCTATATGTACATATAGTAAAAACTTAAAACACTTTCTTGTAAAGACCCAAAAGGCCTATAGCTTAGATATTTTGCATAAGGCATTGCCTGGTAGACCTCTACCCAGATTGTTCAAATAATAATAGCCCTGGGGTCAAAATCGGCCCCGCCCCAGGGGTCATTGGTTTTCTTTATATGTACATAGTAAAAACTTTAAAAAAAAAAGTCTTCTAGCAATTGACAAATGCTAGTTAGATATTTTGCATGAAACATTGTGTTGTGAACCTCCAGCAAGATTGTTCAAATTATAGCCCTGGGGTCAAAATTGCCCCGCCCTGGGTCAAAATTGCCCCGCCCTGGGGGTCATTGATTTCAATATATATATATAGTAAAAAATAAAAAAAATCTTATTGTCTGAAGGTACAAGGCTTAGAGCTTTAATATTTGTTAAATAATATCATCTAAAGGTAAAAACCAAAGTTGTTCAAATTTTTGCCTCTTGTGTCAAAATAAGCCCGGCCCCTGGGAGCCATAGGTTTATCTTATATGTATATGTTAGTTAAAACTTAAAAAATCATCTTCTCTAAATTTACAAAGGATAGAGTTAAGATATTTTGCATGAAACATTGTGTAGTGAACCTCTAGCAAGATTGTTCAAATTATAGTCCTGAGGTCAGAATTGGTTCCGCCCCGGGGGTCATTGATTTTCATCATGGGGTCATTGATTTTCATCATGTACATGTAGTGAAAAAAAAATTGTCTAAAGGTCTAAGGCATTGAGCTTTGATGTTTTGATATATAATATCATCTATAGGTTCTCTACCAAAGTTGTTCAAATGTCAAAAATTGGCCCTGCCCGGGGGCAGTGATTCTCATTATGTACACGTAGTAAAAACAGAAAATAAAACAAATGTTTTCTGAATGGGAGAAAGCTATAGCTTAGATATTTGACTTGAAATGTTGTTTAGTGGACCTGTATCAAGATTGTTATTAAACCCTTGGGTCAAAATTATGCCTTGCCCAAGGGGACAGTGACCTACTTTCTTGTCCTTTGATGTACAGCAATGACATTTTGACCATGTGCACAGTTTTAGTTCTAAAATTGAACTTTGACCTAGATTTTGATGATGTCACCTACTTTCTTGTCCTTTGATGTACAGCTATGAAATTTGAACCATGCGGTGGCATAGCATTTTTCTCAAATGCAATCTTGTTCATATATGTTGGAAAGTCAGGTTCATTAATTGATTTATACATAAGAATTGACTTTTTGTATATGATTCTTTGGTCAAAAGACATCCAGTTTAATTCTTTGAATAATTCACTTGATGGTGTATCAAAATTTTTGTCAAGGAGTATTCTTGCTGCCCTTTTTTGAAATTTAATGACATCTGATATGTGATATTAAAACAATAGCTAGATTATTTGATGCCCACCAGAGAACCACCAAAGTAATTAGGCTCATTGGTATTACTATCTAATTGCCAGAAAATCTTGCAAAAGATACAAAATGTATTTTCTGAACTAAAAGACCTTCCTTCTTGCACTATCATGGCATATTCCTGTGTTAAAAAAGGGTCAAGATTTGCAAACATGTACATACAATATCTTGTAGGAGGTGTTTATTAGTATTTTATGCTGATAATTTGCCCAGACAATTTTATTGCTAGGATTGGCATTGGCCGGACTATGTACAAATGCCGTTCTGGTACAAATTTATTTTACAATAATCATCTACATTAACATATCAATCCTTTGTTAGTTATAATACATTGATTTTTCTGGAGAAGGAAATCAACTTTTCTTAAAGAAAGTCATCAACCCTTACAAGAAATCACCCTCCTTAAAGAAGTCAACAACCCTTTGGGAAGTATTTTCTGGCTTGGCTAATGAACCCTTTCGTTATCATTTTGTTTTTTGTGAAAATATGAGGCAAGAAAGAATACAGGATTTGTGTTGATTTTGGATTTTAAATTGTTAACATGCACGCATGTACTTGTTTTTTTTAATAGTTAAATCCTCGACTGAAACATATAGTATTATGTAATAGTAAATTATCTGACATTTTATCATATTTGTGGCAATTATTTTGCCTTTTTTTTCGTATCTACCTCACATCTTTAACATCCAGCAAGTTTATTTGAGTGGAAAGTTTATTGATATAGACTTGTGGCTTTATGATTATTCAAGGCTATATCATTTTAAATCTATCCTATTTAAAATTTTTTTGATACACATAATATGGTGTTGTTTTTTTTGTGAAACCTGGCTGAGCACTAGTTTAAAGGAACTCCACTGTGGTCCAATAGCCTAAAAAAAAAAGATTTTTATACATAGATCAACTGGGGCACATAAAATAGCCATGTTTGCTTGCATAAGATAATTGAGAAAATATACCCAAAATTAAATCATATTTTATCAAAATTATATTTTTGTTCTTTTATTAGCCCAATGTGTGGGTTATTTTTTGCAGTTTGGGATCTTTATTTTTTTTTTTCACAATTAGAATATTTATTCTGGAAAAAAAAACAGAATGAGTGAATGATCTGAAATTTTGCACACAAGATAACTAGTCTAAACCTCCATCAAATGGAACAATCCTGTCATGTCAAAAAAACTTCAGTGTAGTCCCTTTAAGTAAATTTAAGTCATTCATCAAAAGAAACTTGTTCACATTTTCATTAGTTTGTTGGGTTCTAAGTCACATAGAGATGGCAAAAAGTCATTTGGCAACTTTTCACCTTATTAAATAGGGAAGAGTCCTGGGCATTTTTTATGCACAAGCTGGCACCTGAGCTCAGTGTATAAGCAAGCTGCATTAATACTAAGCTTCCTTACATGAAAGAAATCATAATCTCCCTGCATAAACCATTTGAAATAGTTGAGGAGGACAAATGACATTAAAACACATTTGATAAACCAGTCTACTTCATGTTTATCATAAGAAAATTACTGCTACAAGTTTGATACATCAGTATAATTATAAACAATTCTACTCACTATTATTGCAAGAATGGTACAAGTTAGAATATAAAAGGCTCCCAAGAGAGGTATAGTGATGGGAATACTTATAGGTGCTTGTAATTGCAGGTACACAAAGAATTGTATAGATTCACAATACATGATACAGTGATTTCATTTATTCATTTTGATGTCCACCATCTCACAAAAACATCTCTTAGCTGACAATTTGTTCATTTGTACCTCATGTCATAAAACTTAAAGTGGCCTCTCCCTTCCCACTCATCAAAATAGGTCAAAACAAATGTTAGAAAACCAAAAGCAAATTGTCTTTTGCTGTTACATATCAAGAACTTTAATGATACATGTACCCTTATTTGGTATAAGAATAATTATCACATTATTTGAATATACATGAAAATAGGATAGGGTCATACTTAGTTTGTCTTATCAGGGATGAGAAAATAAAGGGATGGGAAAAGGTTTATGGGCTGGAGGTGGATAGAACTGGAAATAACAAAGGTAAGGCTGCTAATTGAAAAACAAGAGTTTTTCTTTGCAATAGTTCAGGCTGGATTAAAAATTTTCCTAATAAAGAAAAAGAAAGTTATTAGTTGTCACGAAGAAGATTACCTTGGCTACGAAACAGGTTTTGGACAGTCTTTACCAGTTTTAAGGTTTGATATTGAATTAAATTTGCACTGAACTAATTTTAGTCAAAAACAATGCCGGAATTGTATGAGATTGTAAACAGATATAAACCGGAGGTTGTATGGTCAGATGGGGATGCTGGACCAGACACATACTGGAACTCGACACACTTTCTTGCGTGGCTCTACAACGACAGGTATTCTTCTGTTCCGAACAAAGTGACTGCATTGTGAATCAAGTGTAAATTGAAATTTGTGTATGCATATGTGTAATGTATGTTTTGACATGAACTATAATGCTTCTGCATCAATACACAAAGTGGCATATTATGTCCTGTCTAAGATTGGCAACCTTTGACATTAAATTTTTTTTTTTTAAATACACATTACCTCTAGAATGATGAGTCTCACTTACATGAATATCAAATGTACACAAATCTTGAAAAAATAATTATGTTCAGTCCCGTCATTTCAAAAAACCTCTGTGGAGTGCCTTTGAGGCACTGACTGTACAAACACCATGTGGTTAATTCTTGAATATTTTTTTATGCATAAAACTCAAATTGCCTATTGCATATATCATAATGTAAATAGATCATTAAATAAAGGCATTCACGTCAGAACTTTAAAAATATTACACATATGCATACACAGAGGGTTACAAGTTTAATATTGATTTATATTGAATATCATGAATGCCATCATTCAATGTGTTTCAGTCCAGTGAAGGATACAGTGGTCACTAATGACCGCTGGGGCAGAGGAACAAGGTGCAAACATGGTGGCTTTTACAACTGCATGGATAAATACCATCCTGGTAAGGGGTGCGAGTTGCTGGTATACAATTAATTCTGTTTAGGGGTTTACATATTATTTAACACAGCAATTAAAGCATTTATATTAATTTTTGGAAATGATGTATTATTTTGTGTTATTTTTCATTTCATTATAGTCCTGTAAAAGATACAGTTGTAACAAATGACCGTTGGGGCAGTGGTTGTGCATGCCATCATGGGGGATATTACACCTGTAGTGACAGATATAATCCTGGTAATTATTTTGATTTTCAGCCGTCTCTTTCGGAAAAAAAATGCTTTTATGATTGCTGTGGCATTGTCGTTGTTGTCGTCTTCTTGCATAACATTAATGTAGACTATCATTTAAACAGTTTAAAAGGTACCAACATGAAACATGGAATACTTGCTTATCATTCCAAGTTGTAGTTGTTAAACAAGGGGCATAATACTAAATTAGCAATCTTTTTAGTTATCCCCTTTTCAATAAAGAAATTTTAACAGACTAGCCTTAACACCACATAATATGACAGTGCTTTTGTTTCTGCTGAATTTTTGTTATGGACTAAAAATGTCCGGCCTTGATTTATTAAGATCCTTTTACGTGATAGATTCCTAAAATGAACTTGTCTAGCTTACAGTTTTGGAATTGTCCATTTTCGATTTTTGAGATTTCAAGAATTTGAAACAGGTTGCATGGATGAAAGGGCTGGCTCAGCTCTATTACACCCATGACATATGCTGATTACTTTCAGTTTGAATATATTTATGGTTAAATTTGCCATTGATGATAGAGTCAATGAGGTTCAGTAAATCTAAAGAAGGATTCAAAGGAACTTAGCAGATAAAATCCTGTTTATTTTCTCTTTTGTTTATTTATAGTTACATAGGAATGTTAATATAATTCACTCCTTCTTCCTTTGTTTACTTGTAAATAATTTATGATATTGTTTTTATAGCCAAATTATCGACTTTAACAAAACTGTAATTTTCTTTGGATGGGTATCGACATTTCCAAGTTCCTGAAAAGACCAAAGACGGTCAGATTATTGTTATAAAACTCTGTCATTAATAATTTTTAAAACTATCTCAGAATGTTATTATTTCATAACTCTGTCTTAAGTTAAATGATTTTTAAATTACCTCACATTATTTACTTATTTTCAGTGATTAAAACTGTTCAAATATATTTCTAATTACATATACACATATGTTATTTATTGTATTTCTATAATGAATTTTATTGTTGAATGTTTAGATTCTAGCATTTATCAAGATTTCACACTGAAAGTCAATAGTCATCCATACTTCAAACTTTTGAAGTAATGCCATTGTGTGCAGCATGTAAAACTTCCCTGAGGCGGGGGACGTTGGTAACTCTGTAACTATTCTTGTTCAATCTGAACATTTCCAGAGAAAATTTCAAAATCTGTATTGACTGAATAGCAAATATATTGTCACTTTAAGGCAATAGCGGCGTAACTCCTCATAAAATTAAATAAGAGTTAACTGTTAACCTGTTTTGCTCTAAACGGACAAGTTATATTTATATCTATATGTATTTTTTTCTCTTCTAGTGTGGAAAGTTATACATGTACAAATCATTTATTTTTCGCCATTTTAAAGAATAACATAAACTATACCTACCTCCATTTTACAGATTATGATATATATACCTACATGTATGACATTCATTTTACAGGTAAATTACAAAATAGGAAGTGGGAAAATTGTATGACGATTGACAAAGCATCATGGGGTTATAGGCGTGATGCGAAGATATCGGATATGTTGACAATGGAGGAATTAATCACAACTCTTGTGGAAACTGTCAGGTAGATTTGCATTAAGATTCGTTTCCATAGAAACGGAAGACTCGTGAGAAGATTTTATCGACATCTGGAATAAAAATTTTAATGGTTTTAAACTTGTTTATGCTTGCAGTCATCATAGTTTTGTTGTGAAAGAGTTTGCTCCACGGTAGTATTTAAATCAATTAAAGGAAATTAACGCATGTGTATTTTTTATATAAGTGCAAATGTCAACTTTTTACTCCAGATTCTGTCTTGATCATTTAAACAAAATTTCAGTATCCACAAATCTGTCAGATCAAGTTTTTTTTAATCTCTGGATTTATAGGGTCTATTTATTTTGGGATGTTTTGGTAGTGAGACCTCAGGTGCCCCTCCATGCATTATTTTAGACATGAGGGGACAACAAAGTAGAACCCACTGACCTTATTAAACTAGCTGGATAGCTTACTCAAATGAAAAAAAAAATACAAAGACCCAGACAGGATTCAAACCCAAAGTAGGGAGGGGCAAGTGATATGAAGTTTGCAACATGAACCACTCTGCCATGGAGGCCCCTGTTGGATTCTTTCAGGAGATCTATTTTCTCCTGTGAAGTTTGTTCATGACTGAAATAATAAAAAAAATTGTGTGCCTGAGGTCTACACTAGACCACACGCTAAGCTGGAAATTTTGCACAAGATGATATGACCTTTACAATATTACAATATAAATCAAATTTGACTTTAAATGCAACCAAAGAGCAAAAAAGAAGATAAAGAGAGTAATAAACAGCAGCCTTTAAGTTTGTTACACAATGTAAATAGCGTATTTGTAACTTTTGTTCAGAAGGCTTGTTATGCAAGTTCGCAAGTAATACAGTAAAGAAGTCATAGTATAGAAAGTGATAAAGAATGTTAATATCATTTGATAAACATGTTTTGAATATATTGAAAACAAAAGTTTTTTTTAGAAACATTTGCAGGTGCATTAACAAAGAAAGTGTTGTTTTACTGACTTTTCAATTTTCACCATTGGTTATATATGTATGTGTGTATATGATTAACCATTATGAATCAGTATCTTTGGTGCTTATTTTTAGAAAATGTCTATTTAGAGAATGAACTATCAGGAGTGATGGGAATGAAGTAATAACCCTTATACCCTTATTCCTGTAAACATCTTAAATGGACTTTCCCATCTTTCAATATGGTCAAAACCATTCATCGTTTTTAGGGTTTATTTCAATATATGTAACTGAATGAGGATCAAAGAGTGCAAATCATGATCAGACGGCATAGATCTTGGTGTGCATTGGTTGCAATAGGTAGAATTTGTAACTGCCTGCGAGCTAGGAGTTTATTCAAAATTGAGGTTAACCCAACAGCAGTTTTTCTTGTGCAAGCAAAAGTCCCGAATTTACTGTACAATTAAGATTGCTTACTTGGATTTAGTTTTTAATATAATCTTAGTTTTTATGACTGCTCTTTTTCTTGAATATTGCTATAAAAACCCTCAGAATAATGTGGGATTAGTAGCCAGTGAGTTGCAGAGAAATTTGTAATTACTGGTTAGTTATCCAGGACCGCAGAGAATGACCAAATAAGTGTTAAAATTGGCATTGAAAAAAAAATCAGAAAAATAAACCAATTTTGTTGACCTAGCTATATAGCCTACCTGATCTAAGTGATGCATAGGTCTAAAATAACATAAAAATTTATCATTTTTGGCCTGGTTTCACAGGTGCAAACCCTGGTTATAGTATGGTGAGCGGCAGGCAGGTGGGGTGTGGCCTGGGTAAACATTTTCGTAACAGTTTTCTCAGCACCTACTTTAATATCACAGCCTCTTGATATTTGGTAAACATGTGGTCCCATATGGAGGGATTCGATTTCAGGTCTGTTGATCATCTTCTCCCTGTTTACTTCCTGTTTACCATTTATAATTTTTGACATTAATGGTAGAAAATTTTGGTAGCAATGAAGCCTTATGTTATTTGGTGTACAAATGCAACCCGGCCATTTCTGTCTTTGACCGATTTTTTAGAACAAAGTTTTAAACTTTTATTTCAGTTGCGGGGGAAATATTTTGATTAATGTTGGTCCTACCCATGATGGCAGGATAGTTCCAGTATTTGAAGAAAGGTTGCGAAGTCTCGGACAGTGGTTAGATGTTAATGGCGAAGCTATCTACTCAAGTAAGCCATGGACCTTCCAGAATGACACAGAAACACCTGCCGTCTGGTAAACATTACCTTATAAGTCAACGCTTCTATAACTGCTGTTTTGTTTAAAGTCCTAAAGTATACTAAAAGCTCTTCCTGTAACAGTAAATGTTTGAAAGTTGTGATATGACCCACATAGAGTCAATTTAACTTGCTATTTGCTCTTTGGCAGGAAGTTATGCAAATGTTATAAAAATATTTCATGTTATATTGTTATTATCATATTTTTTTACCGCTCGCTTTGCTAAATAGGATGAGCTTAGGTTTAATTCTAGAGGTTGCTAGTGTGATCCTCATTCAAGGTGAAATTTCTGAAAATTGATTTCGGACATGGCGTCTAACGGTCAATTGTCTTGCACTGCTGATTCAGAAATCATATTGGATTGGTAGCAGGTCAATTGAAGAGAAATTGGCATAATCTGGTTAGCTATCTAGGAAAGCCAGTATGTTGGAGAAAGAGCCAAAATTTGACGAGAAAATAATGTGTTGAAATTATGAAACTTACCAAAAATCTTTTTTTTTTATATAGAATAATTGCATTTCTTAATCTTTTTGGTAACATTAGATTTTGTCAGTGTTATCAACTTTTTGTGTTGAAGATTATATTGGGTAAGGGAGACAATTCTTGTCCATTTTACAAACCAGAATAAGGGTTGACAGTAAGTGTTGCAGTTCTTTTCTCATTGCATACTAAATGATGAGTTGTCTTTTGGTATTATTTAAGGTATACAGCCAAAAAGCCTGCAGCGGGCGGGATGAACGTGTATGCCCTTGTCTTAAAGTGGCCAAGTCCCGGAGATTTCTACCTCGCAAGTCCAACAATAGGGACAAACACAAAGGTTACGTTGCTAGGATACGATGACCCCATTGCGTGCAGAAAGGCGCCAGGAACGAAAAACAACGGGATTATATTGACCATACCAGCCATTCCATTCAATAAAATGCCATGTGACTATGCCTGGGTATTTAAGATGGAGAACTTGGGTTAGTGTCGAACTCTCTCTCTATTTTTAAACTCACTTTTTTTACACATGAGGACAATCATAACATAAAGTTTATCTCTTTGGAATATTTTTTACCTGTGCAAGGTAAAAACATACTGTAACTTTTAAGTTTCCTGATAAAGATTTATATTCAATGGAACATATCAAAACATGCTTTTTCCTTTTGTATTTTTTTATTTTGAAAAAAATCTGATCTGTGGGATTTGAATTGATCTTGAATGCATTGATTAATCTTTATTTTGATCCAAATTGTTTTATTAATTGTATAATCACCCCTATATAAATCTTGTTTCTTATAATAGTTATGTTAGTGTTGTTTGTTTAGGAAATAGATAATATCAAAAATTGTTGTCTTGACAATCTTGTGCCATATTGAAAGCTTATGCTTACCCAACTTAAATAGCCCTTGAATTAGATAGTTTACTCAATTTAGGCTTAAGGGTAGTTCAATTTGAAGTTAGGTATAAAAGACCATCAAGTAAAAGTCTTGGTATATCAGATCTTCGATTTTTAAGGTTATATATTTAATATAATTATGAGGGTTATATTTATTAATTGTTTTTTGGGGAATTTTTTTTTTTTTTTTTGTAAATAGGAAATCTATGCAATATTTCATATTTTATATTGGGTTTCAATAATTTTGTATTCCGACTGTTCACTGATTTATAAATATTTGACGTATATATTCATCAAATATATCAAAATAAGCAAAATGTTAAAGAATATGAAAATAAAATATGATTCAGTATGTTAACGTTCAGTCATCTGAAATTTTGTAAAATGTTAAAAAAAAGCTGTCAAATTTTCTCATTGCTTTTTCTAATTGTGGCCATTTTGATACAAAAGACCTTTAAGAATTATTTGTGACTCATTTGTTTCTATTTTTGTAAAGAAAAAAAAATGAACATTCTTGCTGTCAAGTTTTATTTTATTGATATGTTTGTAACTTGCTTGTGATATATGGGTTTTTGCTTGGTGATATATTGTGCTGTGGTAAAGTTAAAGGTGGTCACTCTGATGATCTCATTGTTGTCAAAATATGTAAAGAGTACATGTAGTTACACTTTACTGCTGTCAGCTTATGTACTAAGCCAGAAGATTCGAGGACATTTGCCCCCTTGGGCATTTGCACCTCTTTGACATTTGCTCCCTTATTTTGCTGTGGTAGACAGTTGTCTACTGTCTCATTTGTTTTGAAACAGAGGGCTCCTATATAATTTTTAAGGACATTTTTCCTCCTCCATTGTAGAAAATTAAAAGAGTGGACAACCATAAAGTGAAGCATATTGTTAGAGTGACCACCTTTAGCAAATTGGGCGTTAACTAACTAAACATATGGTTTTGTTTAATCTATACACCAAAATATGTTATTGTACTGTAAACATGTTCACTTTTCCCCGATTTTTCCTGTTAAGAGCTTTCTGTTTATTACCAAATATGATTACAGCTTGACTATCTCTTTTTTTTAGATTTTGTACTTCCTACTCCACATTGAAATTTATTTAATGTAAACGATTTTTGTGCTATATTTATACATACATGTATCTAAGGTACATTATTATTATTTTATTTGGATACAGTTAAAAAGTCAACTTCCAGGGGCATACAACTCCTGGCCCCGTGTTCACAAAGATTTAAGGATCAGGATCAAGATCAGGATCAAATTTAAAAACTCTAATATTCTTCATTGTTTATCCTCAAAGATTAAATATCTAATATTAATTTGATAAAACTAGACTTGCAATAGCAAGTTTATGAAATTTTAAAATAAATTTATTGCCATTTTTGCAAGATACGGGCATTTTACAGTTGATCCAAATATTGATCTTGATCCTAAAATTGATCCTTATTTTGATCTGAAAATTTTTGTATTTGTTTTGTTTTTTGTTGATTTTATCCCAAAATAGTTTGGTTTCTTTGCAAATCAGCAATATTTTACATTTTGAATATATACCATTCAATTCTATGAAAGCATGATTAATTTTAGTAACATAAAACAATGAAAATAAAATCAGGATCACTTAATCCTGATCCTGATCTTTTGTTAGTGAACACGGGGCCTGGAGTCAAACTTGAAATGTTTTTAATGAGAGTTGTTTCCCTTTATTAAATAAAAAAAAAAAGAAATATAAATACAAAGATAGTCATGTTGAAAGCTATGACACGGAGATATTGTTTGGTTTTTGTTAAAATTTTCTTCTTTTTTTTCAAAATAAATATCAAGTTGTTTGTTACGATGAAAACTGGAATGTCATGGTCACTATCACAATGGGTTTTTTGTGGGAATTTCTGTGTGTATACACTGGAGCTTATAGTAGTGGCTTTGTAGATGTGGACACATATTTTATAATTAATCTCAAATACAAATTACTATGATATTCATTATTATACTGCAAACTTTATATATATATATATACATGTGCACTACATACAGGTGTACCTTTGCTCTGTACTTTAATACAAAACATTCCACCGGGGTACTTAAATTAAACTAAAAGGTATTCAGGGCTTGTAGAAATACCTCATTTTTACTGGATTATGTTAGCTTTGGACCAATATAAAGCTCTTCTCAGAAATCCAAATATTTTGCATATTTTATCACCCAAGTGCAGGACTATTATATTTGCTTGTTAAGCTGTTAATAGTTACAACATTGTTGCACTTAGAGGATAATTTATCTCTTTGTAAGTTCATTTAGATATACGATATTAAGATTATGATAACCATTACAATGCTATCACTTCTTAAGAAATGATTTTACAGCCTTAAAGGTTAACAGCCATAATGAATTAACAATGGCATACGGGTCCTCATGGGTCAGTGGTTACAGTTGCTGATATGGAATACCTGGCACCACACCTGAGTGTGTTCAAATATCTCCAGACCCTTTTGACTCTTTCATGGCTAGCTTACAAAATTTAATGGTTCTATTTAAATGCTAGCTCAAGCCTGAAATAATGCCCAGAGGGACACTTGAGGTTTTCCTCCACCAGTAAAACTGGAAAGTGGCCATATAGTTGCCAACAACAGTGTTGTTGTGACATAAAACTTAACCAAAACTTCCTATGCCACCTGTTTTAAAGGACCATGCAGGTCTTCACTTCCTTACAGCCTGACCAGGCTCTTATGTTTTTTGACTACTGAGTTTTGATATTTAATAAAGAAACCTCTTCATGTCCATTGTCAAAACAGGGCTTTTATCCATTACCAAAATACAGGGTTATTTCCTCAGTTATTTTGTTGATGGTTGATTCTGAAGTGTTTTGTCTGAGAACTGGTGTATGGTGTCAATAGCTAAATTGGTGTTGTGTTGGCTATTTTACTTTCCTGCTGTGATTTTGGATTTTTAATTGTCAATTACCTGTACCACCTATAAAACTATGTGATTTTTTTTCTTAATTATTCTTTGTCAGTTATTTAGTTAGATGAAATACTTAAATATTCTTGTACTCCAATTATTGTTTTGTCTTCTTTTCTTTTGAAAAATTATTTACTTTACTGTCATCATAATGTATATTTTTTTGGGAAAATAAAATCACAAATCTTTGAATTTATTGAGTTATTTATTTATTATTTAACATGCTTTTGCTGCACATTAGTGCTTTGTTGCTTTAATTTTCCACTCAATCTGCAGGAACATTATTAACTGGATGAATCATCACGGGCAATTTCATGTATACAATGCTAGTTGTTCCTTAAATATTCAGCATTTTCACTACATTATCCCAATAGTGGACATCATATTTAAAAAAAAAAACTTTTAAAAAAGAAAAGGAAAAAAAAAGATTTATTTACAATTGACCTTCACCCTGCGGTCGGTGAATGTGCCCATCCGTGACGTCTGATCTTGGTCTGCACTGTTCCCTATTCAGTCAGAACATACATTGAAAAATTCTCAAAAAATGATGAATGGTTTTGTCTAGATTAAAGGATGGACAAGTCCATTTAAGATATTTAGCATGTATAAAGTTAATACCCGGTAACTGTTACACAGGTTTGATGTGTTGCTTCAACTAAAATTTATAAAGCCTAACATCTCACCAAACCTAGTATGATGCACCACTATATTGTACTTTATAGAAACTACAATTGCCCCCATTGGAAATACAGATTGAATATCAAACTGGTCTTGAAGAAATGATTTGGTGCATGTTTGTGCCTGAAATAATGTACAGAGGGGTACCGGAGGTCGTCCTCCACCAGTAAAACTGGAAAGTCACCTTATGACCTATACTGTGTTAGTGCGATATTAAACCAAACAAAAAAGGAATACTAGTAATTGTTGATGAATAAGGAAGTCATGTTCTTCACTAAGATTCTTAAAACTTTTTTATGCCCCTACTGAAGCCTGTATGTCTGGCTGTCTGTTCGTACACACATATATCTTGTTACTATAAACTTGGTCAAATATAAACCGCAAACTTCCAACGTTTGCACTAAATGATATCGAAATATAAATCGTGTTATCAGTTTTATGTCGCTTTCATTTGGAAATCCAAAAATTCCATATCAAATCACTACTGTACTCTAGCCTCGTTTTTTATTCCAGAGTCCAAAAAACATAGCATATCATTATTGTACTCATAGTAACAAAGTTCTGTTAAATGTCAAAAAAAAGTTTGGTGGTGTGAAAGAAACAGGACTGGTCATTACACATTGTTGAGTACAATACTGATTCTATTGGACTCGTACACAGCTGCAAACCGTATATAAGATTTTAATAGTGCCTCGTCTAATATTATGTAGATTTTACTTTTGCAATAGGAACCAGTATTGTACCCATCAATGTATAATAACCTGATATTATCCTTGTCAAAAGCAAAAACTTTAGACAGAAAAGGTGCAAGTTTATTAAACATAGGAGGAACATTGTCCATAAGCAGGTATATATTGATTATGATGTCATTAGGTCGAAGATCACAGACTGCGTCAAACCATGAACTGATCAATATCTTGTGATAAGAAGGAATAAGAATTTTGATGTTTTAGATCAAAGGTCAAGGCCATAAATACAAGGCCTAGTATAATTATGCTTTATTGATACTAGTTCGTTTAACATATCCTAGATTTTATTTTAGTTTTTTTCAGTCAGCACATTATAAAAAAAAGTCAAAACGTTACTAGAGACCCCCATCCCCCCATAAATTTGAATCTGTAGCTTTATACAAACAATCAAACAATTAAAACTGGCCCACTAAAATGCAAGTACTGGTTAAATGTATTACTTCACGAATGTTCATTGTCCTTGAATGAGGTGAAGGTCACTTTGATCAAGGTTACTTGGACATGAGCAAAAACAAACACTTAGTATTATCGAACATTATCAAAAATGAAAGCAGTTATAGGTATCTTCCATTTGAGCGATAAATGGCCATTTTGACCTCTTGTATTAGTAACAGACGCATGGTAGGTGCATAACATTAATAATTAAGGAATTTGAAATATACAAAAGTTAGCAATCTTTGGAGAACTAGCCTATGATTACCAACTTTGTTACCGTCCTTTTATACTTTGTTGCCATCCATTGTTATATATACTGTTTGACTGGGCACAGGTTTTTCAGCGTTCTGCTTACATTTTTAAATACAATGCAGTCTGAGCTAGATTTCAAACATACATCAAATATTCACAGCTAAAGGCAAGAGTCTTTTACCAATAGGCTGCACTGTGTTTTGGTTATCACGGCTTATGATAACACTATTTTTTTCAGGCTGCAAAAAAAAACTTAAATCTAAACAAATATTTCAAAGATGATCAAACTCACGTTGACATTGACTGTTGAATAATTTAGATATGACCTTGACCTTGATTATTTACAGCTTTGATTTATACTTGGACAAAAGAACATAAATGTCATAACCGACATGTTGAGTTATTCTGATATGACATTGACCTTTACATGTGTTGACAATTGGTTTAAACATTATTTATTTAAGCTCGATTGCGAAACAAGTTCTTGCAACTTATATTAATCACTTTCGAGTCCTCTTCCTGGAACCAACCAGTACTGGTGTCATATGGAGAAACATGGTCGTGACCCGAGTAGGGCTCGAACCCATGATCTCTGGGTTGACAATTGAGGTCAAATTATTGAAATTTGCTTAAATTGTCAATTTTTTATTTTTTTTAATAATTTGATCTATGCTTGGACAAATAAAAATAAGATAATCAAGGTCGTTTTATCAGCGTGACTTTTTGTACTACATTTTTGAAGTTAAAGAATGGATATAAGTCACCCGTAAATCTTGCATACCAATAGTTTTAGGAAATTAATCCAGAAACACATGTTTCAGGATTTGGACAAACAAAATCATATATTTTTACCATTTTAATTAAAATATTTTTCACTTCGATATTACAGCCGAGCGAGAAATGCACGTGTTAAGTGACGCTAACAATGTAGAATTGTTTAGACTACCACGATCCTTTGACGAAGAGGACGAAGGCCTGTGCGTATATATTTAACCAAATACTAGTTAAAAAGTCTATCATGCCCCTTTTTAATTCTCAAAATCTTTTTATGTGTCCTATTATAGTACCAGGAAAGTTACTCATTGGCCAATTATGTAACTCATCATTTGCTTTTGTTGCAATAAGTACAAATATAACTATTTGGTGTTTTGTATAGAAGTCCTATATAGAATACTACTTTGTTTAGATTTTGTTACTTTTTAGTCACAATATTTCACATTTAGCGCTGCTTTTTTTAGCAGTGATCAGCATTTTAAATGTTCGAAAAGCATTAAATGTTCTAGAAGCCCTTTCTTGAGAAGGAAAAATGTATTCGTTTCTGGGACATAATAATTATGTCTTTAATTGAAGCTTTGTTAAATAAAACTAAATATTGCTGATCCTTATGGTTCCGATTTCTGGTTTCACTATATTTAAATATTGTTGTATCGCTTTGATTTATTACTTGTTTTGTCTCTGATTGTTTGTTCGTTTGTTTGTTTGTTTGTTCGTTCGTTCGTTTGTTTGTTTGTTTGTTCGTTATGTTTGTCCGTTCGTTCGTTCGTTCTGGATTTCTTTGTTGTTGATGTTGTTGTTGTTGAATTTCTACTTAAATTTCTATCCTTGTTTTATAAAATTAATTATGGAAAAGTTTCAAATAGCATGTGTAAAATAATTCAGGGTTTTCGTTTATTTTCAGTTTCAAGAAAATGATAGCAGCAGACGAAATGCGGGTGCCAGAGCATTCTGTGAAACTATCTTGGTTGCTTTGCGCATGCTCAATGTTAGCAGTATACATATATACATGTGCATGTAGGAGAAAACGAAGAAGACATTGTATATTCTAAAATTAAACACTTATTATATTCTTGGGTTCAGAAAATGGTTTTTGCTGTGATAAAATTTGTGAAGCCTTTATGTCTGGAGTAAGCACGATGAGAGTTTTAGCCGATGTATTTATTCAAGCGAGATGTTATGACAATGAATTGTGGGCTATAACAATGAATTGTAGGCTATGACAATGAACTGTGGGCTATGACAATGCATTGTTGGTTATGACAATGAATTGTGGGCTATGACAATGAATTGCGGGCTATGACAATGAATTGTGTGTTATGGCAATGAATTGTGGGCTATGACAATGAATTGTGGGCTATGGCAATGAATCGTTTGTTATGGCAATAAATTGTGGGCTATGGCTATGAATTGGGGGAACATTTTGGTGCTTTATCGTTATTACAATGTATGATATAATATCACCACTATATACCTGTGTTGTTCGCTTCGACTGTGAACCGTGCACAACTTTGCAATCTTTCTTCATCGGACAATGGCCGGAACACAGTAACTATACCACGTGTCTTTTTTGTTATCTGATTGGGGCAGAAAAATAGCATAAAAACATTTCAGTCATATAACTCCTTAAATATTTCATTCACATGTAAAATAATGAAATATTTAAAAAAAAAAAGTTATTGAAGAAAATTCTATCTCGACCGTTATGTGTTATATGGCCTTTGTTTCCTGCCCAAAAGTCACGTGGTATTTGCACGGCGCAGAATTTAATGAGAAAAATACATTTGTAGTTCCAGTTTATACCGAAACAGCAAGATAAACTATTTTCCTATTAAAAATGTATGGTGTTCTTATCGTGCCATCTATAATTTCGTCAGTTGCTCCTGCGAGTCGACACTGGACAATGCGGGTTGACATCGCGATAAAGCCATACGACACTAGACAATGCAAAGCGCTGGTCGATAACTGCTTACCTTCTGTGGTTTGAGCCCTAGCAAAAAAATGGGACATAAAGGACTCTGGGGCTGGTGATAGAATGAGTATTTAATAGGAAAGAAGGAAAAGTAAATATTGCAAATACGTTCTCTTTCAGCTTAATCAGATGACCTAAAGCTCCTATATTAAAGTTTACGAATTCAAGAAATATAGCAACCGTCACACATTGAGATTTGCATGTACATCTAAGTTTAAATGGACGTTGTACTCCAAATTAACCGACTGTTTTAAAAGGCCTTTATGCAAATGATACATTCTAGGTATGTAGTAGTAAATACCTTTCTATTTTTATAACCAATGGCTATATTTTCAATATAACCAAACCAAACAATCTTTATTTTAATGCCACACCTTAATATCGCTGCTTAAAAACATATAGGCTTTAGTCATGATATTTCAACAAATAAATATGTTCAGATAAGAAAAAAATATATCTAAATGGATGCAATGCATTTCCTAAAATCAAGATATTTCAACACAACTGCAGCAATGTCTTCGCTTGAAAAATAATAAAAACTTAATATTTTATGTTGATATGCAACATTTATAATTATAGAACTCACGGATTTATATTACAATATAAATCCGTGTAGTACCGAAACATTTTTTCAAACATTTGTGTGTGCCATGTGGGTGACAATTATTGCTTTTTAATGATATATATGTGTATGTTATTTTGAATATAGGTATAATTGTAAATACATATCTTTGTACAGCAAGTAATAAAATGTTTTAGAACAAGGTTTTAATTATTATTGATCTTAATCATTCAGAAACGTAAGGCAAACTATCTTCAGGGAACGGATTAAGTGCACATATACACAGCCACATTATTCATACGCCGCGTTTCATCTTATGGCACTAACGTGTTACATCGGAGGTTTGATTTATCTATTTCCCTGATTTCTGTAACAAAAAACAAAAAAACAAAAAGAAAACATTATGACATTGCGATAAAACAATTATAGTAGATTCTATATGAAATCGTTTGTTACGGAGATATAACACTGGCTAGGCGACATTTCGGGATGTTTCTGCAATCAAAATTGTTTTTTTAAGCAGAAATATCCCTTGTTGTCGCCCAAGTCAGTTTAACATTGATGTTAAGTTGAACTGAAACTGATGGGCCGTTCTTGAATTATGAATTTGGAACATACTAAATTATGATGTGTTTCATTTACATACTTTATATGCATATTGCCGAGGTGGATTCAGAAGTTTTTAAAGAGAGAAATATGTTAGAAAATACGGAACCGGGAAGAAACTTGCAACAAATTAAGGAACCTTTCTTTTGTGAATTGACTTTTAAAAAACATCTTTAAATAGATTTGATCAATAAGATCTTTTTGAATTTCATCGGTATTCTATTCCGCATAAAGGTAAGTTCAAATTCTACTCCGTAAATGTTATTTGTTGTTTTGCAACATCAATTGCAACTAAAATGGTGACATGTTGTAAATCCAGCTTTGTAAAAAAGGCCTCCTCAAGAACTTCATGTACATTTTAGACACGTGCTTTCTCCCGTTCTTTGTCAAATGAAGAGAAGATCTACTTCGGCTACCATTGTTGTCTATGAAAAATAACAACAGAGACTTGCCGTAGAGAAAGCAGAATTTGGCTTTCACAAAAAAAATTGATAATTTAGAGAAAAATCATGAAAAAAGCACTTTTACTCTGACAGCTGATTACACATAGCCACAACACGCGCATGAGAATTGTGACGTCATCAAATGACGACATAACATCAACAATCGTGGCAATTAATTTACATTACATGTACAGGTATGTTAAATTATTGTTATCTTTTTAATTTATTGGGGCAGAATTAGGCACATATTGCGAAAACTCATCATGCGCCTAAAATGATAGAAAGGACTCTAATTTAGAGGTTAAAGGCTTTTTAAGTGCTTCTTGAAAACATACCTATAAAAAGCAACAATAGATAGAGGATATTCAAGTTTTTTCTATAAATACATGATTTATTTTCATCGAGTGGTATGAAAATAAATATGGTAATTTTCATGCCACAAGATGAAAATAAATCATGTATTTATAGAAAAAACTTGAATTTTCTGTTTATTATATACATTTTTCTCTTTTTTGACATTAAAATTTGAAAGATTTTCTTTTAAATTTTGCGTACAGGCAGAATTTAAAAGAAAGTAGTCCGGCAAGACACCAGTGAAAATACGGAAAATATGTTTCACTGCAGTGAAAAATAAATTTTTACAGTGAAAATATGGAAAATTAAAATATGCATTTTATTTCATCAATATTTCTCAATATTTCATTTGTAAGTATATAATAATTAAATTTGTGCGTATGTCTGAAACAATCTTTATTTTCTAAATATTCTTGTTTGTTGAAAAAATAAAGTTTGAGTTACAAAGTAAGAATAATATTAATATTTAAAATCAAGCAAAATAACATCTAGAAATTTTAACTGAAACATGAAAAATCTGGAATGTAACACCATTACCGCGATTTAAATGATGACATACTGTTGTCTACGTTTGGTCATTGTATACGCACCGGTCTCAAATATCGACAGTAAGACCGATGTACACAATGACGTTTGGTCCATTAAAATTGACTTCGACCGAATATATTGTTTCCTTGTGCCCCACAGAAGAAAATACCTATATGTTATGGCTAATGACAATTTTTGTACCATAAGTTTCATTTGTTGTTTTCTTTCTGGTTTCAAAGCGATAAGTACCGTGAACTAAGAGGAGCACACTATAGGCCTACTTAGTTCAAGTACCTGAAGTGAAATTTAAATAGCTTTTTTAAAAATGTTCATTCAAACGTTTTTATTATATAGATACAGTACATACTTTATTTTTCTTATTCTAGTATTCTTCTTTCTGTTCTCGCGAGAAAAAAACTCACTAACTTCTCTAAAAAGGCCTGTATCAGATTCTATATGAAAATTAATAATATTAATAATGATGAGTGTCACTTTGGTAGGTAGTTAGTATAACCAACTTCATACTAGGTTGTAGTTGGTAATTGGTAATTCTCAAATATTAGACAGCTGGTCCTTAGCAATTTAATCTACTGTCACCAGCTTGCAATGTTTGAACATATCATACATTTTTACAGTGTCTATGCCCATATTTTTGAGAATTCACCCCTATTTTTTGAGAGGAAGGGGAAAAATTTTACATAGACAAAGAAGGAAAAAGATCAACAAATGTAATAAATTCTCACTTTTTGATAAAAATCCACCCTGTTTTTCGAATCCTAGAATAAACACTGTTTTTATCACAGAATAAAGAAGGAGGCCTAGTCGTTTAATGCAATAATTATTCTCCAACTTTCTATAGGCAGGTAGTTCATGTAGTTGGTAATTCGAACTTAACATCTTTATATGACAAGATGGATGAACTCTACCAAATGCTACCAGGGGACTTTTGGTTGGTTATTTGCGTGAATTTCGGAAAAATACTTTCATTTTTGAGCGGAAAACATTCAAAGACCGATTTACCAATTGCCTTCTAGTAGGTTGTTGTGTATATGCGAGTCCCCTGGTTGACATAAGGACACAAGGTGTTTCTCGTTGAAGAACAGATCTTGTGATATACGTCTCAACTTTTGCCAAGCACCATAAGTTTATTGCTGAGAATGACCGCCACGGAGATGGGTCAAGTGGGGAGGCATCAGCTGGTCTGGACGAACCGACCTGGCTGTGCTAAATAGATGTACATTGACAGGTCAGCGATAGATTGACTACATTTTAGACAACCAGGTTCAGTTGTATGCTGGAGCAGTTGGCGATCAGTTCATTCTAATGGACGATAATGCTCGCCAGTGTTTTGGTAGTGATCCGTGTGTGTGTAGTGTCCTGTGAGTCATGCTCGCCTTGGGTATAAAGGTTAATGTTTTATTAGTGATTTGTGCATCTGTGTGTAAGAAGTGTTGTGTAAGAAGTGTGTTGTAAGTCAGTTCTGTGTTCTTGTGTTCTATGTGAGACATGTTCGCTGCTTCAGTTAGTGTAGTCCTGTGTGTCAGTGCTCTATAATTAATAATTATATTAGATGAATGTTTTAATAGTGTCCTGTTTGTCAGGACTTGAGTAGTGGCCTGTGTGTTAGTGTGTGAGTTTTGTTCTGTATGTCCCCT